GTCCAGAGCTTCCAGGTTCAGTCGAGGTGTGAGCGTCCAGGGCTTTGCGGGCAGGGTGGGAGGAGGCCGTAGGGTAGTGTACAGGGCCACGACAACCGAATAACACTCCTTCCAGTTCCCTAACCTTTATAGTTCTTCACGACGCATGCATGCAGTCACAGAGGAGTCTCAACCTCGGTTGGGTGCATACATCTCACGACATGTTCTACACGTCTGTTATATGCTACCACGCAAGGCATCATGCGGCCGGCACAGCCAACGCAGGTAGGCATTTTAGACTCACTTGTTGAGCTTCAAAATCTACGTCGTGCTTTTTTTCACGGCTTAAGAAACTAGTTGTAAAAATTTCGTGCCAAATTGATGCCCCAGACCAAGGTGTAGTCTACAGACAGCAAACTTTATGTTGTAGGGAGAGGAAACTAGAAACCGGTCCTTCTCCACCACCATTAGTTCGAACAGAGGAAACCCGCACCGCAGTACTGTGGTAGTGGTGAAGTACTCCACATCCCCAACAATACCACCACAAACAACTGTTTCGGCTTGAACCTCACAAGGTGCTACAGCTCTTCTCTTGCATCTATCATGATAATTTCTGTGGCTAGGCCACGGTTGCGTGCATGTTGTGTAACGTTTCTGCTACAAATACAGTGTTGGGAAAGCATCACTACTGCTGTACACTCACCACAAACGTCGCTGCGACCAGACTTGCAAGTACATCCTTGAGCGCGAGCAGCGGCTCGCTGACCACCTCGTTTGTGCCGCAAAGCCCGCGGCTGCTAATGAGGGTTTTGGTGCGATTTGGCCAAGGAGAGGTCGATCGCAAAGCCTCACATACGTTCTTCGTGTTGCCACTGTTGGTGGGGTTTGCTACAGAGCGACCGCGCCGCGTAAAGGCTGGCGAGCCAATCTGCTGAAGGGCGTCCCGAAAGAATGGGACCATGATTCACAGGGAAGAGAAAGAAAGATAGTTGTTGAGCAAGTCAGTTGTAACGAGGAAAGAGGTGGATGCAAGGGTATAGAGGTGGTCAGGACGGACGTGCGTGATATTTTTCAGCTAAATAGGAGACCGACTATGGACACGATCTGTAGACTATAATGTTTACGCAATATGGTAGCATGCTGTTGGTTTTCTAAAACGCAATCAGCTCTGTAAAATAGCATCATGCTGCATGTGACACGCTGTTGCACCGACGAGCATGCAGAGAATCAAGCCAGGGGTATAGCACGCAATCCTACTGTAAAGCGCACTTCGTGTACACGGCAAGCTAAACTCGTGTCCGTCATATGCATAGCGACACTACCTTGCAACACATGTAGTGTCTAGAGCTTCCAGATGACCTTTATGTTCGGGGTCACTCACATCCCTCCCGAAATGACCTCCATTCAGGGGGGGTGCTATACCACGTCATGAGCACAGCTACAAATCCAACGGCAACACGTCGGAGGCGACCTACGTAACAATTTGATTGCTGCAGCATACACAACCAGCCAACGGCTTCCCACAAGATTTGATGCTCGATAGTCCAGTCTAGCGTGGGTATGATGGCACAGTAGGCAGTGGTACATGCGAGCGCCGCAAGCACATGAACATGACAACAGCAGTAAAGCTTGTCGGCCAACACACCACATTTCTGCACCTGGAATGACCACCCCAAGGGACAGCACAAGACCAGCGTCATCATCACCAAGCGCATAGCGGCACTTCGGCGAGAGGAAGGAGGAAGCGATAGGGGTGACCGAGCCATGCCGGTGTTTACCTTTGCCTGTGTGCTCACCGAGAAACAGACAAGCGAGGGTTTCTCGTGTGCAGGCGTGTGTGCGTGCGAGGGCCAAAAGTATTGTGATGTAAATGGGCGACATGTGTGTGCTATTGCTGTCTCGACCGAGAGCGTGCTTGGGTGGGATAGTGGGCAGATCTATTGGCGAGGGTCTCAGGCAGTAACTTCATGATTTTCACGCTGTTTCGTGGTTTCTCGAGCAGCAGATAGAGCCCCCAGTCTACTTTTTAGCCAAGGGAGAAACGTTAAAACTCCTGTGCTTCTGAGGCGCGGTGGGATAACCAACGGTTGGCGTTTTTTTTTCTTTCCGCCGAACGCCTCGAGAACCGTATCTGTTGCATGCCGTTTTTGTGTCGGGTTACGCGCGGCTCGTCACGGGTTACAGGACCTTCGTGCGGACACCGCACCTGGTGGGGTGTGTTCACAGCTCCATCGATGGACTCAAAGGAGGTATAGATAGATCCTGCCTCGGTTTTGTGTTACAGCTGTACCCTTGGGAGGATTGGCAAAGTACTTAAAGTAGTCCACGACCTGTAGATTCAGCACCGTCTTTCGCATACAAGTAATGGGTAGAGTACCAGTCTCCAGCGCTTGTCAACTGATGTGTTCTGTTGTTAAACACAAGCAGGCGAGCTTGCTTACACACCCTTCTACTGTGTATCCTCCCTTGTGGTCTCCACCTGTACGCTAATGGTTGCACACCAGCGTTTAGCATGGTGCTACAATACTGCTGTATGCATACAATAGAATGACCCGCCATCCGCCCAGGATTCAGTCAGCAGAGATCTACAGCAGTATCTGCCCGCAACACGCGTGAGCGGTCGGTCCATATCTTGCCTTTTCGGATTTGGTTTGGGCTCGAGTACGGTAATGGGCTGACTCTGTGTATACCTTTGAGACTTCTTAGACCTAGAAATGATCTGTCTGAGTGCTACTCAGCAGCCGGTGGCGCTGTTTGCGTCCATGTACGCAACGTGTAATCACCACACGATGCCCAACTCCACCAGTGACATATACCACACGCCACAGTCCGCCAGCAATAAAGACCTGTTGCACATTCGTCATCTCTGAAGCTCATTATCAGAAGGATGCCAAAGCTTCTTGGAGCTATGCGTGTTCATGCCTATGTGCTAAATAGTCGGCAGTCGGCGCCGGTTCACCACACTCATGTCTCTGCATCTTGTCATGTTGCTCCTTGTCTACATTTTGCCTCTGTACTGTTGCAGCCGGCGCGGGTGACTGTCGTCGTCAGGGTTCGCCCGCCCGAGAGCGGTGGTGGTGGCAACAGTGCTGCCACCAGCGGCCAGCAGCATGATGTCGTCGTGTTTCCAGCTGTTGGCAGCCAGAATACCATTGTAGTTGATCGAGAGGGCGCAGAAGCCAGGTGCGTGTGTGTGCTATTTCTACCACGGCGGGTGATATTTACTGTTGCGCCACATCCTCATCGCAATGTGGTTCAACGGGACACGAGTGGAGAAAGGGGTGCATACACATTCTTACATACTAGCCATACACAAGGGGGCACGAAAGGGCGAGCTACTTCCCTCATCGCCAATTGCTTTCTTCATGTTAACCCACCCACAATATTTTCCAAATGCTAATTCACTGTTGATAGTCAATGTAGTACGTCGACCTGTGGACAAAACTATGTTCATTTAGTTTTTTTTCATCACTTTAGATCAACGCTCACAGCTTTTCAGCATATGTACATCGTACTATTTGATACGTGGCAAGTCCCTCATTGCGCATTGCGCTCCACTCACGATGTGCGTACATCGAGCTCGCAGAGACAGCCCCCAGTCTCAATTCAGCATAAGGAATTGCTCTGGTGTATATCTGCATCCGCAGGCAGAAACTGGAATTTGGTGCCTGACATCGACTTAGTTCGGCGGCAACAACGACGACCTACATGGATAGCACGTCTCCAACGCACACCAACCAAGCTCCCAACCTTAGTTGGGGTTTGATTTAAGATGGGGTTTTAGGGGCAGGGTATGGTTTAGGTTTGATCGCCGGTGGTTGGGGCCAAAGAATGCAATAGAAGGCAAACATGCAAGCCGACCGCATGTCTATCAGTGTGTTTGCCTCCAAAGATAATATCAGCAGCCTGCGAGAACTTTGTCTATTTCTGCTTGGTGCATGAAGATCACACCCGCTAAAAAGGAAACTAGTTCATCTCCGTACAGCATTTCAAGATGAGACCTTGCTCACAGAAAAGATTTCGGCCGCTGCTTCGCCTACGGCTCCCCCTGAATCTGTGAAACTTATACTGTGTGTCTCGCGGGCTGTCTCTGCCGGTGCCACGCGCTAGGGATGAACGACTGCCGGTACCCAGCAGCAACATAGACAATGTCGCAGTCAAAGCATAACTCCCTGCGTGATTCAACGTGGATAGCTTGCACGTGGTCCTTTCAGCCCGATCTCGGGAGACATGGTTCTGATACGGGCTCGCACCAGAAATGTTCATTCTCTCTAAGCTGTGCACGCCACACACGTCTTCGGTACTGCCTTACACTTGAAGTATGCACAACTCTTGATAAAGCCTAAGGTTATGATGGATGTGCCGGTTCTGTGAAGTGATTGTTTTATCAGGGCATCATTGCACGAAACGGAACCTTGCGGCGACCTTTCATGCAGGCAAAACCCGACTATGGAAGAATGCCGTATGCGTTCCCTGCACGTAAAACACGCACTTGATTCCTCGCAAGCAAGTCAAGCATGTCCTCGGCGCTCACTCGATCTCTGGAAATATAGAAGTATCAAGCCCGATGCTTCCACCTAGTCCGATTTTTTTTAAGCGTTTCTTTTCGATAACAAATGGTCTAAATTGCGCAACAGCACAAATCTTCGTCCTTGAGACGTTAGTATTTCTCTCTGTTTCTAACCCACGAACTTGAAGCGGAACGTTGCCCCCGGAAAGGGGGACAGACGTATCCTCCCTGTATCCTACCACAGGATGGACGTCGCTGCCACCCGCAGCTTGGTTGTTGAATAGGAAAATGTCGAAGCGAAGCGAGGTCTGCGCTCACTCAAAACGTGGCCCAGGGCAGGTATAGTAGTCGTACTCTAATTTACAGTACATTTAACGCCCTGCATTAAACTCCCAGGTAAGTCACACACAACAACGAGCCGAGTAGTTGAGATGGAGCTATATAGAAGATTTTTTGGCTTTGGCAGGGAGGCGCATATTTGACGAACTAACCGTTTTGTGGTGACACTCGCATGGTCACGAGTACGCAAAAATTGAAGGGCGGCGAGTGCTGAACCCCTCTGGAGCCCAAGGAAGAAATCGCTACAACACCTAAGCAAAAACCCCATCACGCACTCAAAACAGAACGCCCGAGAAGAGAGTCTTCCCTTACCCTACCTGCGAGATGGTGACATGTTCTTCACTTGAAAGCAAAGTTTCTGGCTGTAACTCTTAGCACTGCGCCGAAACAACTGACTCGTCCTCTTTGGTTGTACTTCCGTTGTTTGCCCGCATACCGCTAGGCGCGTGAAGGGTGACCTACGCGATTCATCGCCGGGCCCCAATTCATTTTCGGGACAACCTGGCAGCGCTAGTGGCGGAGGAGGGAATGGCAGTACCAGCGGACCAACGTTCACCTTCGACAGAGTGTTTTGGAGCATGCAGGCGGGATCGAAAGGTCGGGAGCGTCAGGGGTCGCTCGGCAGGAGCCCCGCCCCATACGCATCCCAGAACTGCGTGTTCGAAGGTAGGCGTTCAGCTTTGTTGTAGGTGTGTTGCTTGGACCTTGAGGAGCACTTTAGCAGTATGGTCAACTGAGAATGGAAGCGCACGAAACATAAACGCTCGCTCTGGGGGTGCCACGGATGTGCTCCTTCTCTGAACTCCGTGTACTCGTGCGTGATGTCGGAGAAGCGACGAAAGAAAGGGTAATATTCCGATGCATGCGCTTTCATCTGCACACAAGACAGAGTAGGGAAGATGAGCAAAGTAATACAACCCTGACAACGAAAGGGCATCGTCCATTTCCCGCAATTTCTGGTGGTCATGGACGTGGCGGGAAACATGGGAACCGGCCATGCCAACGCAAAGGTGTAGGAACAGTCAAATTCGTAGTATTGATCTATGGAGTCGTTCTCAAGCCTCGCTCTTTCAAGCAAGTACCGGTACAGCCTAGAGCTGAAATGTTGAAGTACACACTATATTTCCACTACAGCAGAACCTCTCAGAATTCGACGGGACACACGCGTACCTTCACATGCGCAGAAAACACAGTTTTTCGTTCGATATAAGTGTTGTATTCGATACACACGGGAAAATCTGCACGAAGCTCCTTGATCTAACCGTAACCCTTTCCCGGTCTTGCGCTCCCTTAGGAACGCCTGAAGATTAAGTATTCCCATGATAACTCCCACAAAGCTTAACTACTTTAACGAAAACATCGACTCCTCCACCAGTGGTGCACCATGAGGAAAAATTAACAACAGGCGTTTTCACGGGGACAGGTCATAGACAATCCACAAAGCCATCTTTGTCTCGAACCGCACAAAGTTAACAAAACATGCAGAGTACCTTGTCGCATCCGGACAGGCACCGACCGCGACATGACCCACAAGGCTGCACCACACACGCACGGAAAGTGACACTTCATCCAACTCTATTCTTCTCGTCGCAATGGATGGCGACAATTTTTCCTAAACGTACGGTTTCGCAGGAATCGGGCAGGGCGTCGTCGAGAGTTGCCTTGCCGGCTTCAACACTTGCCTCTTCGCCTACGGCCAGACGGGGTCAGGGAAGACGTTCACTATGATGGGGGCCGGTCCCTCCGAACCACCAGCAGCAAAGGCAATAGAAGCAACAGCGATAGAACAAACGGAACAGCAGGTAAGGGCGGTCACACCCCCGCCCCCGCCCGTCGAGATGATGGCCTTAAAGTCTGAGCAACAAGCGTCGGACGCAGCGGTGGCGGAAAGCGACACGCAGGGAGCGACAGTGAGCAAACCTCCTAGCGACAGCGACAGTAATATCAGCAATGACGGTGGAACATCGACATCAAACGCCACCACCTCGGAAGGCACGAGCGGTATCAGACCGCGACCCACTGTGACCGGCGCGCAAGTCAGCAACAACAGCAACAGCGGCGGCAGCAGCAGCAGCGACAGCAGCGGCAAGACCAGGAACAAGAACAAGAACAACAGCAGCATCACCACCAACAGCACGTCCGAAGGGTCTTCCGGCGTCAGCACGGACGGCCCGGGCGGCACCGGCGACGCCAATCGAGGCGTGATCCCGAGGATCTGTGACTTCTTGTTCGAGCGCGCGGAGGCGGTGACCGCAGAGGCCAACGCTACCGCGGGTGTTGTTACCGGAGGTCCAGAAGCTATTGGCGAGGTAGAAGGATCGACTCGTGCGGGCAACAGCGCCGTTAACAGTAGTGCTGCTGATTTGGGAACGGGTGTGCAATCCGGAGTTAGCACCAGGTGGACCTTCAGGTGTGCGTTAAACATTTTGTGCGGCGGAATGCTTATCGGGGGCGGGGGCTGCCGTGACTGTGCAAGTAGTACTATAGCACAGGTATGGAGCTTGTTTGTTTCCAAGTTTTCGTATAAGTCTCTTCCAAGGGTACTACTTTTGAGCGGAAGCATAGAAGCCCCGAAAGAAACAACTTCTGCAGTTGCCCTCCACCTGTGTGCGCTGTGCAGAGGTCTGTTCATTCCTTCAGACGTTGATTTGCCAACTGACGGCCGCAGCCGGCCGGAAATGGTCAAAGAGACCACTTGGCCGTGGTTGTGTCGTTAACCCAAAGCGGGCGCTTTGTTTGTATCTCGTGCACGCTCCAAAAAGTCTTCCATCGTCCTCCCCTCCGGCAGTGTTTCTTTCACGGAGATATACATGGAGAGGGTTCGTGACCTTCTCGACACCTCCGGACGCGCCAACCAGAACCTCAAGGCAAGAACAAACGGACAGGAGAATGACGTAGCACAGGAGTATATTGAGCCACCGTTGGTCTCTTTACTTGCGTGTATGCTTGCAACGTCTTTCCTGAGATTGAGGAGATAATACCCCACCTCGAGGAACTTAACTGATTCACGTTGACTTCAAGAGCGAAGGGCGGGATAAGGAAGAGGATGTTGACCTTGACGCGTTTCTGTATCGATGTTGCCTTTCCGTAGACACAGCCTGCCTGTTGTTGCCAAATTGTCCTAGCAGCGTACGTTAACGCTTTCGCCGGTCACAAGTACGTACGGGGAACGCGTGATGTACCGTACGTCCCCTAAGCACAGCTTCTCGGCGTACCCACCGCATGCACCTTTACGGATACCCTGTCTTCATTTTCCCATTCTATTTCCTGTAGCACATTGGTCTTCTTTGCCCTGGTACACGAAAACATCATCTCACCCGAGATGCTCGTCAAGCGAGCTAAGTACTTTAGCAAGCAATAACCCAACTTCATTGACCTTCCCCTTACCCCTACTTTCCACCACTTCGCCCTTGCCCCCTCCGTGATGTTTCAAAGCCTGTGAATGGCAAAACTATTCCTATGTATTGCGTAACAGTGGTCGTCAGAGCTAGACGATTGTATGTAGCGTTGAGAGCCCTCTGTCGCGCAAAAATGGTGACCCTACGGCGTGCAGTGTTTTCGTGTTTGGGTCAGATAGACGCCCACGAGGCATGTACCTGATAACCACTTCCCGGAAAACAAGGCGTCATCCGGCAGCGTCGTTCTGAGCAACATGACGAACAACTTGCTTGAGTTGCCGCTATCCTTACCTGAGGCTCTGAGAACACCCCGCAGCAATTTACGCTCGGTTCCAACGCTTGCTCAGTCCTCAAATCCCGACGTGCTCTCTTACTGGCACTGTAAAGGTGTGAGGGGGCATAACCTAACATGTACGGCCGTGCACGGTGATTTTCCTCCGGTGAAAAGGTGCGGGAACATCCTACGAAGGGCCCCTTTGTGGAAGGCGTCGTCACCGCAACGGTGACCACTGCTAGGGAGACAGAGCGGCTGCTGGTGGAGGGGCAGGCAAGGAGGGCGGTGGCCGGCACCAACATGAACGAGACATCGTCGCGCAGCCACGCCATCTTCACCATCGTGGCCACTAAGGTGGAGCGTGACCTGCAGACGGGCGCGGAGGGTTTTACGACAAGCAAGGTGACAAGGATTTGTCGCGTCTGTCTGCCCTTGGGTGACGTTCTACAGTGACGCAATCATTCCGCAACAAGTTGTGGCTATGTCTAGACTAGCGGAGAGCGTATATTCTAGCCCAGTTGTACGGAGACAAACCGCAACTTGAAGTAACATAAGTTAATGTTTGTGATAGGGGCGGCCGTTCAACACATGTGTGCGATAAAACCCTAGAATCGAAGCAAGCTTATGTTTCAATAGCGATTACGCATGGTACTGCTCAACTGGCGCGCCTACGGTAACACATACTACTACTCTTCACTGTTCGCGAAGGTCCTCTGCAACTGAGGTGCAGGTTTAGATCGATCTCAGGCCTACCTGTCGTTGTGTGGTTCTTCTGTGGTTCATATGAAACTCGCGTGGGCTGCAGTTTCGTGTTCCCGTAAAGTCCGGCGAAGGTTGTAGTAGTGTAAGAGTGGTTTTAACGCCATCGATTAAGGTAGTTCATTCATTTGTTAGCGTATCAAACACTGGCTAGGGTTCAACTAGTTTCGTCCATTTCATGGTTAGTTTCAGTATCTTACCATTTGATTCAAGTTGGGCCTAGCAAAAGGGATACAATCCCGATGGGTCTAACCAGGGGGGTCTAATCCAGGTGGGACTAGCAAGGTGGGTCTAGGTAAGATCTATCCAGATCTACCTCTCATGCATCGACCCACAAACTGGTTGCTTCTTAGCGGTGGGTCAAAGTTCCTTTTCCGCGATTGGTCGTGTTAACAGTGAGTGATCACCTTATTAACGTGTTGGGACGGAGCCCTAGAGGGGTTCCGTCCGTGATTCAGGTACACATTGGGGAATACCCTAGCCCTCCTCAAACCATCGTGAAACGGAATGAATCTCAGTACATAGCGCCCGTTCATGCTACCGTGACAGTGGATGTTGAACCCAACAGCCCACCCAGGCTGTTCTTAGATCGCTGATGGCTTCAAGTGGACGCATCGACATGAGCGTTCGAATTTCAATCGTTCGGGAGGATTGATCCGACATTTAGGAGTTTGAAAATCTTGTTCTTGATGCAGTCTTGGTGTTCTTGATGCAACGAGGTAACTTTCGTTTGCCTTCGTTTCGACACTCACAGACAGAAAAAAGGGGGGCCAGTGGGCGTGCTTCTGTGGGCGCAGCCGGATGCACACGCGATTTTGAACGGGTTCTCCTGGTAGTGTTTGTTCTCTCGTGGGTCTGAGTTTCGTTGCTGGCTCGAAAAACCCAAGGAGGTGACCGTTGGCGCTAAGGGTAGCACGGGCTGTGGATGGTGAACTATTAGAGGTCAGAGCGATACTTCCTTGTTATGCCAAGACAACGACAGCCAGATAACAAGACAGCACCAACGACAACACCCACCCTTAACCACCAAACCAAACTGCAGGTAAACTTGGTGGATTTGGCCGGCTCGGAAAACGCCAACACGGCGGGGTCGGCCGGCACTCGGTTGAAGGAGGGCGCCGCCATCAACAAGTCTTTGCTCACACTGGGCAGGGTCATCAAGGCTCTCGTGGATGCTTCCACTGAGGTACCTGTTTGGCACCTAGCATGCGACACTCGGTACGATCGCCGATGCCCCCTACGTCTGCATTTCCTGGTGCACGAGTACGGCGGTGTTTCCAAACAACAGCAACGGCAACGCAAAAATATCTCCAACACGTTGTCTGACCCCCCTGGGCCGGTTTTACATGGGCGCTGTTTGTCGCTGCGGTGTTGCAGGGGCGCCCCCGCGTCATCCCAAGCTCCAGCCCCCGCAAGTCCGAGCAGAGGTTGGCAGGGAACGCCGGAGTGGATGAGAGCCTCCCAGATCCACCGCCGTTGTTGACCGTAAAGTGAGTGTATTACTACATTACCAAAGCGAGGGGCGAGATTCGACCGTGATTTTCTGCGCCAGGAAGAGTCGCCATATGATGCCAGATAGCCCTTGAAAAAATCTCCCCACTTACCTCCGCCGCTGCTCTGTGCTCGACCACCGCTTCAACGTCGTGCTTTTTCGAACCACGTTGTGTCTGTAACTAACTGTCGTCTGTGCTGTTCAATTCTGCAGAGCAAACTCACGCACACAATATCTCTTTTCCTATCAAGCAGTCACCCGTACAGCAGACTACTACAGGAACACCTTTCACTTAGGGACGCAAGGAGCAGCAAGAGCGAGTTGCTCACTTTTCACGAGAAGCCTGATCGTCACACCCAGTCTCAACTGTGGAATAAGAGATTTGATATCAACGGCTCGAGCGTACGGCATATTCTGGCCCCCTTCGCCTCTTCTGAGGAAAAACCTACACACATGGAACACTCCCCGAAAACAAATCAAACAAGATCAAGAGTCGACCCCTTCTCCACTTCCCCAAGACAATTGCCCTAACCCCCCCGTCGTCCCTCATGAAAACACACGTATAGCGCCACATGTAGTATCTAAACATCGGTAAATTAACGTTCTCGGCCACCACCACCACCACCACCACACTCTCTCTGCCCTTCCCCTCCTACAGAAAGGTTTCAAGCAACCGGTCGCTATTGCAGACCCCTTCTCCAGTCCATGGCCCCGCTCCCTCTCCGGCCGCCGCCGCAGCCACCGCCGCCGCATATCTGGCCGCGGTGAACGGGGAGGGGAGCATCACCGGGCACAGCAGGGTATCATCGATTGATGGCGCTGGCAAAAACGATGACGGCAGTGGCCGTCACAGTCGAATCCCGTCCGCAGGGGGGGATGGTCGTGGCCGAGGTCGAGGGCCTCGCATCAGCAGACGGAGGTCGTCAGGGTCCATGCAAGATCACCGGTTTCAGCAGCATATACTATCCCCGCCTTCATCATCTCCGCCCCGGTCTCCCTTTGCCTCCCCACCCCTGTCCCCGTGTACTTCTCCGCCCACCTCGCCGCGATCATCCATCGGGCCGGCAGGGTCTTCCCCGAGAGTTCCCAGACGAGATGGTGGGGGCGATGGAGGGGGTGGGGGTCTCCGGCAGTCAATCGGCGGCGGCGGGAGGGTACCGTACAGGTGTGTGGCCCGACGAACGCTGCTGTTCTAACGGCTGCTCGTTCCCACTTACCAGTACTATCGCCACGTTCCTGTCGTAAAAGGGTGGCTGCTTCCGCCTGTTGTCTTGTATTGACAACCGTCTTGTTCTCGCCTAATGTCGCTGCTGAGTGCGGCTTAAAAGTGCGTATCCCGATGAGACCTGTATTTCTTCGGTGATGCCTTCTGCCTTGCCTTAGTTGTTGCCCGCGATAATCGACACTTGCATTATTCATCTTGTTGGTGCAATTATTGGCAGGGAAGTCCCAAGCCTCAGAGAGAGCAGGCGAGTGGAGGGGCATCATGCTGCATACCAACAAGCGAGGATTAAGCTGAAGGATATTACACCATATGCCCCTTCAACTCCTGTGCTGTGCTCGCTCGAAGAAATCTGGCAACCCTTGGTCATATCCCTTGTGTCCCTGGGTTGCCCAATGATGTGCGCTTACTTGCATTTTTGTTTGCATATCCATCAACCAGGGAAAGCGTGTTGACATTCCTGCTGAAGGACAGCCTCGGGGGCAACTCCCACACTACCATGATCGCCACCATCCGGTGAGGGTTGGCTGTGTGCTTCTTCTTCAATGTACCGTTTACAGCGCGAGGTTTTTGTTGTCCATGCCAGCTGAAAAAGAACGTGAGAAAAGAGTTATTTGCTCCGTACAATTCTTGCTCGTGGTTCCTCTCTAGATCTATCCACGCTGACAGTTTTTCTAAAGCCAAAATTTGGTGGATAAAAGCATTTCCATTCCCATTCCTTCGTTGGACCACCCGTTGAGAAGTCGTCTTGTTTGACAACCCTGGTGCGTATGATACGTCTTAGGTGGCTTTGTGTTTCCTTGGGGTAGTGCACTAGGAAAACAACACCTTTCAGCATATCATTGGCTTCAGGCGGTCTGCTAAGACAACCGAAAGAAGAATAGGCGCGCACAAATACCCGGCAGTTCGATAGCAATATCCCGTCTCTCATATTTTCCTCAGCAGCTTATTGCTCAACAGCCCAGTTAACGCTGCGTACACCTCGCGGTTGTTGTATGAGCTGGTACACCCGGTCATTGTAACACATGTGCGTTAGATGTAAAGCCCAAAGGGTCTTTTTTGCTTTACTCCGATAGCACGAGGTTCACGGCGTGATGTGAGTCGGAATCTTCCAGCTCTATTTGCTTTCTGATGAATCCGACATGACCAGACCAGTACTGCCTTTGTTTGTTTCCTCCCCGTTGACAACAAGCACTTTCTTTCGATCTGGAAGTGCAACAATGTGTTCATTTCGCACGTGTAACCAGCAATATGAGGTGTCTATCTTAAAGATCAGCGTTTTATCTTTGCTCGTGCCTATACAACAACCGCAAGGCCCGGTGTCCGGTTCCTGGAAGAGACCATGTCGACGTTGCGGTATGCAGACCAGGCCAAGAGCATTGTAAACTCCGTCAAGGTTAACGAGGATCCGTTCGCTCGAACCGTCCGCCGCCTCCAGGAGGAGGTGAGAGAGATCAATAGTTTGAGACCACCAACAATCACCCAATGTGCACTTGAAACGGTTAACAACTGTGGTACGTACTCTACACAGCTGCTACGTTCTACATGCGCAGGATAGAGAGATTCTGCAAACCTTAGTTAGTTGTCGTTGTGGCGTGGACAAGCACCGACGTCTGTGTGTATCCTGCTTTGGGGTAGTGTGTCGCTCGCCCCCGGTAACCTAGGTGGTAACCTCATAAATTGTCCAGAGGCTAAACATGAATCTCTGAGGGGTGTTGTGTCTGCATTTCGTGCATGTGCTTTGGAACGCGCTTGTTCGTGAGCACTTTTGAGGGAAGGACGGCTGAACCTTTTTCGCGAAAAATGCATCTATGTCGACCGAAAAATCGCACGACGTTATGGTCGGGTTTGATGTGTTCTTCTATCATGTTTTCTGACATGCCGTGCGGTACTTCATGCAATACATTTTAACCTTTAGTCTACTTGTAGACACCCTACAAGGCGGTTGCCATTTCCGAGGCCGTAGCGTGATTCTTGCTGAAGCTCTCACACACTAGCTAAGGCATATATTGCAGAGATTCAGCTTTGCGCTGAATGTGAACGCAATTTGCTAAAATTGGACGATGTAATCGTTGCTCGTGTGGAAATTGGAGCACAGATTGTGGAGAGATGTATTGGAAGTACAGTATTTTGCACACGCTCCAATTTCTCGCTCTCGGATGGCCTCAGTTATACCCTATACACCCAGATGAAACACCTTGACTAGTTAAACTGCCAGTGCTATAGACGGCGTGCGAGAGAAGTGATTCAATTAACAGAACTGTTAACAAAATAACAAATTTGTTGCTCGTACCCCCCCCCCCTCCCTGTGTTCGTGAGAAGAACCCTCGAACGACGTCGCCTCAGGATCATTGTTTTGTCGAAGAGCACTAGTTTTCAAGCGCACAAACTGTGCCTTGTATTCTAGACTTTCTCGCAGCTAACGGGTGTGCGTGGGTAGGACGTGGCCAACCGCTCTCCATTGATTCTCGTCGCGACTAGAAAAGCGTTTATGTCTCGTGTTCGCTCAGATCGCCGCCCTGAAGCGAGAGCTGGCGTCATCTCGCCGACAGGAATCGCTCGCTCGTGCCCAGGCCGACAGTGTAAAGCGGGAGGTATGATACACCATTATGCAACATGAATGATGATCGGAACCCGTTGACGTTTCTTCTACTCTTTTGTGGAGTCTTAGCGCTTTGTCTTTCATATTATGGTTGTGGCAGCACGGATTCCAGGCGTAGCCCACCAGCGACAAAAGTTAAAGGACTAGACTAGTTTAGGAGGTTGTTTCTTGCAAGCACGTTTCGCGAGCTCGCCATTCCGCCCGCAGGCACGTTGGGAACACTGCCCAAAACATGCGTAAATATCATATCACGACTAGGTGCGACTACGCAAGGAGCATCGTCTCGCTAGCTCGCTTTCCATACCAATACTAAAAATCACCTGTGACGAGCAAACGTTGCAACTACGGAGAATACGTTTCGAGCCATTGCACGTTACTCTTCTCGTTGCGTTGGTTACGCGATGAATGACTTGGTTTCACCGCTCTCCTCTCCGCTCTCCTTGTTTCCTGTTATACTTCAAACGTGACCAATGATGTTGTTAGATTGATCTCCTGCAAGTGGTGGACGCCACTCTGATCGCGAGCATCAAGCGCCACGACAACAACGCCGGCCATGGTGTCACGAGCAAGGTACTAAAGGACGTTTTTCATACCGTTTCCTGATTCCCGTCACTTTACGGCGGCAAACGTTTACCGGTATCTATGTACTACGGCGCAAGTACCGAAGGACGCCTTGATTTGTTTAGAAATGGCATGTACAACAATATGTGTTTCAGCTGGTTGGGTTCAAACATCGAAAGTTGAAAAAAGCTGGACATCCAAGGATATTCAGGTTGACACGCGCACGCACTGGCGTCTTTTCTCTTGCCAGTCGGTTGGCGCTGTCCATGCTGATTAACGAAACAAACACATCCTTTTCAATGGCACCTCAATGATCAACCGGTTGGCGCGGTCGGCGCAAACTAAGAATCGCAAGCACATACATATTGCGCTACGGTAGCACAGGAGAAGTAAGTATCGCAGCAGGACGCGACATGTGGGTCTTGAGTCTTCTTTCAAAAGTAATTTCAACCCGGAGACTGACTCGTAAACTCCTTCGCGCTCCCATCCACGTCGGAGCTCGTTGCCGAGAAAAACCGTGGTCATTTCTACGTATACCACGGAAATTTTTGGTTCATAGTTGGTTGGCGGGCTAGCGCGGGTGAATGCTTCTTGACTGAACACTACGGCCACACTTCAGTTGGTAACCTCCCAACATTCTGACGCTTGGGACGTGGGTTTGAATCTAGACACCGTCACACGAACTGACATAATCCTCTCAATTTACCCGCGAACGGTATGGGACGCGACTAGTCATTTCAGTAAAACCGCAACAAATATTTCACTTCACGATCGATGGGGGAAAGGAAGGCTGACTCCTCGCAAAACAATGACAAGCACCGCAAGGTAGTGGAGGATAAATAAAATCCTGGGGGACCTTCCTGTGTGACCCTGGTTGGTGCGTCCAGGCAGAGTGATATAATATCCGGTAAATGTGAAGATCGATGCCCAGAATGATGGGACTGACAGTCGCAAAAAACACCCAAACACCGACGACCGGGGCAGATTTTATTTCAATGCGAAGAAACATCATGACCGCAGCACCCGGATGAAAGCTTGGCGGGGGAATACGGCACACACACGTTTGTTTATGATGTATTTCGCAGTTCGGCATCAGGTGGTCCAGAATTCTGACGACACCAGCACCATTTGTTTCCGTTTGTTGGATGTCTTTCTTTCAATATTGTTGATTGGAGTTAGACTCGAGTGAATCTGAAACACGCTGCCGCCGCCTCCATGTACCTAAGCTTGGTTGCGTGTTTACTTCCTCTTCGTACGGAGGATTTTTTTTTCAAGAGAATCGTAATATCTTTTAGAAGTGTGTCGATACCCAATTTTGGGTACAAGTATTATTTGGCCTGTGACCAGAAGGCGTCCGTGCCAGTTGGATCGGTATGGATCTAAATAATAGGTACTGAGAGCGGTAGGACGACGACGGCGACTGACTGTGGGAGGCGGTTTGTTTTTTCGTGCAGACACAACACTGGTACAATAATATGTTATCGGCGTCCAGCGACTACTATGCTACGGAGTACTAGGTATGGGGGGGTGAGCCGCGTGGTGCGATTCAATACCTTGCATGCAGTAGTCTTATCTGCGATGCTGATGGTGCACGAATCCCGACACACAGCAGCGTGGATCATTTGTGGTGCAGCTACGCGTGCACCACAGAGGGACAGCAGGCGTGCGACGGGAGCGACGATGAATGTATGTGCGGCCACCGTTCAGATTTTTGCACTTTCTTTACACGCGGCGGCTGTTTCTTTCCGTTTTGATGCACAAAGAAACAAAATGTGAAGTCCTCCCGTTGTGCGTACACAAAGAAGCACACATACATGCGGCATCCCCCTGGCGGCGAGCGCATCACAAATGACATCGTCGAGGAGCACGATCAGCAGCGTAGACATAGAATTGTGACACGACAGATGGCAATATTGCGTCAGGCTCACAACTTGCCCGCCACATTCGTCTCAAGCCTTCCGAGTTTCCCGCCCAAGTGAAAGCAAGCAGTCCAGCATGAACCAAAAACAACAAAAATCCGTTCATGGTCATGTGACATCATGCCTTTGATGCGATAGGCCGAGAGGCCCTGCTGCAGCCCTGCAGCAGCAACAACAGCATGCAGGGCACGGCTTTCACTGCGAAGACAGTCCGAGTAGCGCGGCGCAAGTACGCAATCCGAACCGATCCCGCGGGGAACTATCCTGATAACGCACAGCAGCAGCAGTAGTAGACCCTCACGCCCTCGACGGATTCTCTCGATGATGGTAGGTGTGATCTGGACTTGGGAAGGTATGTTTATTGTGTTATCATCGGGCTGCTCTTTTTGAAGCAGTTGGTTGGACCCACTCATCATCAACGAACACCGGCCAGGCTACACGTGGCGCATGCCTACAGTATACCCACGGTGCACAGGTCGTGTAGGCCCGGCTCCTCCTGGTTTTCAAAGCTGGTCTCAGACCAGCGTCTCAGCGGTGATGCGTCTCTGTCGGTGTTTCTTGTCCTGGTCTGAATCGCGCGCGCGCAATCTCCGCTTTTGTGCACACCTTTTCGCGTAGAAACCCCGGGGTTGGAGAGCAAAATATCCTACGAATATAGGCTACATATGCCGGTGAAGCACGGCCATCTGCTCTCGGAGCATGACGAAACCGGTGTGGAGAAGAGCGCGCTATTTTTCTTCTTCCTTAGAAGCAAGCATATCGTCAATTGGTGCCCTATAGATCTCGTTCCGCTCCCAAAGGTGTGCTAAAAAGGCTTCCCGGAAACCAAGTTTTGGGGGCCCTGTATCGCGCATTTAGGCAGATATTATATAGAGCCTTTTTTTCCCTCCTGGGACGAAGGGAAAAAATGTCGCTCGCTTCGCTCGCTCTGCGGCTTCATTATTACCAGTTTTCGTGGTTGGAAGTGGCATATGCGGATGAAGTGAAATGGAAATAATATACACGAAAGAAAAAAGCAAAGATGTGCAAAAATAGGAACGAAGATGTCATGATAAAAAGTCACGAAGGACTCAACGTCGACGAAGAGATTCGAACTCTCGCGGGCATAGCCCAACGGCTTAGCAGGCCGTCACCTTAACCACTCGGCCACGTCGACATGTCAACATGGTCAGGCATTTGTTTTTTTATGTGTAAACATTATACGCGTCCCGAAATGCCTTGCATGTGGACGGACAGGTAGCTGGGTGCATCTGCATTGTACAGCACTGGTGTGCTGTACATAAGATTATCCTGCTGTAGTGTTAGTTCTGCGGATTTCTTCTTCTACAACATGAATCTCTTGCAGGCGACTGGTCACTCTTGCACTTGGAGCCAGGAAGCACTCACGAGACAGCACAGCACTATTATATAATGAACGAAATGCAAGACTAGTCTACAGCATAGCTTCTCCCTTCTTCCCCTCGCTCCTCGACAAGCTTTTGCTTAGACATGGGTTGTAGTGAAGGGGGGGGTCTTTCTGGCGAGCAGGGCTAGACTCACCCTCAAGGGATGACCGAAACCTTCTTGCTGCTGCGCATATCCGCCGCGAGGCATGCGCGTGGTGGTGTAGTTGGGTCGGCACTGATGGGGTCAGGCGA